AGGGAGTTCTTTATTCTTGTTTGATTTGACTCCATGCAAGAAATTCGTATAATGGTAAAATTTAAACTCAATAGTAATCATATAAAATTGTAAATTTTTAGTTTAAATTAATAATATTTTTTTAATTGAGTTAAAATGATTATTAAACTCCCTTAATTTTAAGTATTTTTTAATGAATTTTTGTACTGTTAATTTTTATCTAGAATTTATTTAAAATACATGCCAAAATTGTAATTTAAAATACAATCTAAATAATAATTATTGAAACAAAAAATAATTAAAATAACAATTTATAGATTATCAATGATAGAATGTTTAAATCCACCTCAAAATTAAGTAGTAATGATGTATCTATTCATGAACAAAAAATGAAAATAAATTCACATATAAAGTTTTTTATTAGAAGAAATCACCACAAATTTAACATATAATATCAAATAACATTAGCAATCTATTAACAATTAACTTATTAGTGATGTAACAGGTTAATCGATTGTTAATATCATTTAATATCATATGTTAAATTTGGAGTTATTTGTCTAAATTAAAAATTTTGTAAGTAAATTTGTTTTCATATATAATTTGGAGGTGGATTTGTCTCTACTACTTAATTTTAGAAGTAAATTTAAATATTTTACCATCAATTAATCTTTATTTTCCTTTTTTTTTTCTCTCATATTTCTCACATTTCTCATTCTCAGCATCATAAAAATAGTATCTAACGAATAAAGAGATTAAAAAAATGAATGATATAAAATAAAAGATTTAAGAAAAAGAAGGTATAAAAATAAAAGTTAACGATTGAAAATTAAAAAAAAAATGAGGATCAAAATAAATGTTACTAAGAAATAAAGTATTTTTTTCCAACAAAAAAAATAAAATACCAAATATTAATTTTTCAAAAGTTTGTGGGGTCTGCGCCCTTCCCGGACCGCCGGCTCCTCCACTACCGCACTATGCAAGTTTATGGTTCTTTACGTAGGGTACAGAGTCAATAGAGGCATATAGTAATGGTAAGAGTAAAGATTTGATAACTTAAATACAATATTTTTTTTAAAGTTTTTTTTTTAACATATAACTTTAATGATGTATTAATTATATTTTTTATAATAAATTTTTGTAAAAAAATATAAAAGTAAACATCATGTTAAATACAAATTTCATGTAAATAATTTTAATTAAATAATTAATAAATTTAAAATTAATTTTAATTTTTTTTATAAATTAATCATAAAAAATTATAATTAAATCCACTCTTAAACCATACCTTTAAAATTCTTTCTTCTTCTTTTTTGAAAAACAAAATTTTTCCTCGTGTACAATAAGAGAACTCTAAACATCGAGTTGCAAGTTACTTCCTTTAAGTCTCCTCTTCTCCATTGGAAGTTCTGCTAACGATGGGCAGGGCTATGGCCGGCGCTTGCAATTGCTTGTGGAGTTGGGGCTAGTGAACATAGGACTTGGCGGTCGAGTTTCAAGTGATTATTCAAGGCTGCAGTATGGTTTGAGATGTTGGAAAGGAAGGCAAATGGCTGATTCTTTGACTATGAAAATGGAAGTATCAGTTTCCGTAAGATGATCCAGCATGTTTGGATGATGGGGGCACTATTTCCCCTTCGACATAGTTGTATTATGGAAACAAATCTTGTCATCAATTCCAACAATCCCAGCTCATGAATCACGGCAACAAGACTCATCTTGGCAACTGTATATTCAATATTATAGCAGCATATCAATCACACATTTAAATCGTATATACTCCATTATTGTATATATATTTAGTTTCCTTGTGTAACTGCATACTCTTGTATATACATGGTTCGGTATTATGAATAAAGATTATCATTTTCCAGTCACAAAAGCTTGTTCTGTTAATGGTATCAGAGCCAAAAACTCAAATGAGACTAGTACCCAACAACCATGGTTGATGAAACACCCAAAACCACAGAATCCAAAACCCAAAAGTAAAGCAATAGCAAAACTGTGATAACCACACCTGCTGTTATGAACACTAATACCAGTTCAAACAACATAATAGCTTTGTTGCTGCTCAATTTCCAGTCAAACTCACCTTCGATAATTACACCATGCGGAGTTGACAATTCACCTCATTGCTTCGAGTTTATTGACTAACTGATTTTTTGCAGGGCACCAGGCCATGTCCTCCAAAGGATGACTTACCCGACTCACCATATGATCTATGGGTGAGGCAAGATCAATCCATACAACATGCAATTCTAACTTTAGTATCAAAATCTATCCACCCGTATGTCTCTAGTGTTGAGACGTCGCATATAGCTCAGGTGGTACTTGAAAGGCTTTATGCAAATAGCTCTCGTACAAGAGTTAATGCACTAAAAGAGAGGCTACAAAACCTTTGATGTGAAGGCTAAGCAGTAGCAGAATATCTTCGCACCATAAAAATCCTAATTGATCAGATTAGAAATGCAGAAAAAGTACCCCTAAGCAACTCTGATATTCAAGTTTATCTTCTTAATAGTTTGGGACATGAATATAGGGAATTCAAGGCTTCAATTCAAGCCCATGATGGACCCCCACTGTCATTTAAAGATTTACAAGACAGACTATTAGCTCATGAAGAGTCTTTACAAAGAGAGGAGGCCTTTGTCAGTGATACTAATACACCCATTATTGCACAATTTGCTTTTGTGCATCCTCGTATAATTGGAAACCACAGTAACTATGGTGGCTTTAGTGACTGGAATTCCACAGGAGGTCATCACAATTCTAATGGGCTCTAGGAATACTCAAACCAAACTTATAGGCCCAATTTTGTGTTTGGTTCTTTACCTTATGGCACCAACCAATTTAATGGATATGTTCCAATGGGCTGTGGAGGAGGCCGAGGACACCGTGGAGCCCAAGGAGGAAAAAATAATCGGAATTCCTCCAACAAGTATAATAATCGCAATACTAATGCTTGTCAATTGTGCAATAATTTTGGTCATGTTGCTAGGAATTGTCCAAAGCTCAAAAATCACGCTCATGTTGCCAACTTTGTGACAACTTCCACTTCAAAAAAGGATGATTGGTGGATAGATTTTGGAGCCTCTGATCATGTTACTCTTGACTTTGCAAACTTGGCACTTCACTTAGAATATGACGAGCCCAATGAACTGCTCATTGGTGGTGGCTTAGGTTTGACTATCTTACATATGGGTCATAACACACTTTTAACGAAAACTAAGCCTTTAACCTTAAAAAATGTTCTGTGTATACCTCATGCCTTGTGAAACTTAATTTCTGTGTCCAAATTATGTCAAAATAATAATATGTTGATTAAGTTTCATTCTGATTATTTTTTTGTGAAGGATCGCACTATAGGGGTGATGCTTCTTCGAGTGCCCAATCAACATGGCGTGTACCAGCTACCAATTCAAAGTTAGTTGATTCATTGATCAAGTTAATGGAGAACACCTTTTCTATCAAAGATCTTGGTTCTCTTAATTATTTTTTGGGTGTTAATGCCATTTTTACTCTTGTAGGCCTTTTTCTTTCACAAGCTCAGTACATTTGTGATTTACTAGATAAATTTGGCATGGATGTGGCTAAATCGGTTCCCCCCCCCCCCAATGGCTACTACCTCTCTTCACTTGCACCAAGGTCTCAAACTCTCAAATCATTCTCTGTATTGGCATCTTGTTGGCTCTTTGCAATATTTTAATCTCACTCAGCCAAACATCACTTTTGCTGTCAATCGTCTCTCCTAGTTCCTTCATGCTCCATCTGATGTCCATATGCAGACAGCCAAGCATATCCTCTGCTATCTCAAAGGGTCTATCTTTCATGGGCTTTTACTTCGCCAGCAACCTCTGTCTCCTCTTCATGCTTTTTCTAATTTTGATTAGGCCGGTGACAAGGATACACTTCAGTCCACCACTGGCTTCATTGTGTTCTTGGATGGTACTCCAATTTCTTGGAGAGCTTGTAAACAGAAGGCTGTTGCTCGTAGTTCAACTGAGGCGGAGTATCGTGCTTTAGCTACTGCTTCCTTTGAGGTCATTGGGGTTTGTAATCTTCTCCACGAACTGGGTCATCCTGTCTCATACCCACTTGCAATATACTATGATAATATTGGCGCCACTCATCTTAGTAGCAATCCAATAATGCATACCCGCATGAAGCACATTGCCATTGATCTTCATTTTGTTCATGAATTAGTGCATCGAAAGCTATTATGGGTCAATCACATCTCCACTGTTGACCAGCTTGCTGATGGGCTTACTAAACCTTTATCCTTAGCATGGTTCTCTTAGCTAAAATCCAAGATTGGAGTTACTGACGGTAGCTCCATCTTGCAAGGGCATATTATGGAAACAAATCCTGTCATCAATTCTAGCAATCCCAACTCATGAATCACGGCAACAAGACTCATCTTGGCAACTGTATCTTCAGTATTATAGCAGCATATCAGTCACACATTTAAATCGTATATACTCCATTATTGTATATATCTTTAGTTTCCTTGTGTAACTGCAAACTCTTGTATATACATGGTTTAGTATTATGAATAAAGATGATCATTTTTCAGTCACAAAAGCTTGTTCTGTCAAGTTGTCTCATTGATGTGGTACGGTATTGGTGGATAGGGAATGCGGATAGCTCAATTATTTATTTTTCTCCGAAACTGAATATTCAATCATTCAAGATATTTGCACTTGGTCCTTGTGGCCCAATGGCTAGTGCCATTGAAAAAGTGCATATCCCCCTCTCCTGGACGGGTTTCAAACCCACCCCATGACAAAAAGTTCAAAAAAAAAAAAAAAACTCAAGATATTTGTAGTAATTTTCTTTATGTTAATAAATTTATTTATGCTTATACATCCATTGTAAATGCAATTTTTAAGTGTAGATAATTTTTTATTTTAATTATTTATATTTACTGTGATAAGATATATCTTTAATTTAGTTATAAATACCGTAACATAAAGATTAATTGAGGTATAATCTCAATTTTGTTTACTTTAATATAATTTCTATTTTCTATCATATTTTTTTTCACATACAAAATTTCAACCTCCTACCTCTAAGTTATAGACCTCATTCTCTAAATTTTTTATCACTCGATCTACTGCCTTATATATTAGCAAGTCCTCTACTGCCTTACATATTTGCAAGTCTTTCCATTTTCAATGACAAGAGGAGAAATAATGCATACAAAGCCAATTGGCGAATCTTAGATCAACATTCAACAATCCAATGATGCGCACAGCGTGCATTCCATTGAAAGCTATTGACAATGTCTTCGCGATTTTTCTTGATTGGACAAATTTACAAACATATCAATAAATTACATGAAAGGAACAAGAGGAGAATTAGACATCAATGATCAATCCGAGCCTGGTTGAATGCTTACAAGATACATTTCAATTCACTACAAAATACAGAACAATGAAAATCAACATTCACTTCCTTTTTGATCGTGATTTGGTCCTTTTTAAATCATATTCCTCCTTCTTAGATACCTCAAAATAAGTATCATCTCCGTTCTCTCCATCGTCTTCTTCTCCCACCATGTCTTTCACATACCCCATCCCTTTCTTCCTCCTCCCCACACCGCCCTTCAGACATTCCACGACTTCTCTCATCGTTGGCCGGTTATCTGGGTCACCGTCGACACATCTCAACGCAATCATCACTGTCGATTTCAATTGAGCTCGATCAAATTTTCCCTTCAGCCTAGGGTCTGCAATGTGATCAAACGCACCCTTTTGGACATACGGCCTGACCCATTGCACAATGTCGCGCTTGACCCCACCGGGGAGTTTCTCCAACGGCTTCTTTGCACTAATTATCTCCAAAAGTAAAATCCCAAAACTATAAACATCACAACTATCGGAAACTTTCCCCCACATGGCATACTCCGGTGCCAAATATCCTAAGGTCCCCTTTACTCTAGTAGTCAAATGAGTAACACCATCCGGTATCAACTTTGCAAACCCAAAGTCAGCAACTTTTGCTTGAAAATTTATATCCAAAAGAACATTACTTGCTTTAATGTCTCTGTGAATTATATGTGGATTCGCCTCATGATGCAAATACCTTAGTTAACATGAAAAAAATACTAAGTCATAAACTTGTAAACATG